GTTACCGCGGGGGCCGGGCCACAGCAGCGAGCGAGACAGACAGGCCGTCCTGGGGGCGGGGGCTCCTGCAGCCTGGCGCGCGGCCCACTCACGCTCCTTCCTCCCACAGACCCCGCCACTGTGTGCTTTTGGGCCGAGAGCTGCTTCACCCTGGTGCCCTACACCCTGGTGCGCCCCCACAGGCCCAGCCAGCCCCGGCCCGTGCTCTTCGTGCCCAGGGTGGTCGGGAAGGTCCTGATTGAGAAGCTGTGCCTCTTCCAAGGGTTTAAGAAATGCCCAGCAGGTACGCTCTCACCTGGGAGTCCCACCTAACTGTCAGGTGGCGGGGCGAGGCCTTGGCAGAACGCTGTATCTGCTTTCAAGGGTGTGGATGACAGAGGAGTGGTCCTGGAGCTGCCTAAACAAAGGACCACAAACCAGGGGGCTTAAAACAGCAGAGATGCATTCCCTTCGTGTTCTAAAGGCTGGAAGTCTGAAGTTGTCTCCACAGCCTGCCCTTTCTCCAAAGGCTGCGGTGGGGGGCATCCTTCCTGCCTCTCCCTGCTCTGGTGGCTGATGGTGGCTTGTGACTATAACACTCCGATCTCTGCCTCCTCATCTGTGTGTCCCTCTGCCTTCACATTACTTTCTTACGAGGAGCCAGTCATTGGATTTCAGACCACCCTACTCCAGTACAACCTCCTCTTAACTAACAGCATCTATAAAGATCTTATTTCCAAATAAGGTGAAAATCTGAGGTTTCAGATGAACATGATTTGGGACGGGGGAGGGGTGGGGCAAAGCGCAGTTCTGCTGGCAGCTTGGTTTGTACTCCATGGAGTCACAACCAAAGGGCTCAATCCACCTGCCCAAAGCCACTCAATGTAGAGCCATGGAGATGAACTGGCCAGTGGGAATCCTGGGTCCCCGTGGCCCTGCTCTGCAGGAGAGGTGGCTTAGCTGGCTGGAGGGCAGGAGTTGGCTCCTTGGCACTTTCCTCTATCCACCATTCCTGGTTGGTGACTGCCCCGGAGAGTCGGGCTACAATATGAGGGTGAACAGGGCCCTGTCCTTCTCTCCTGGAGTTCGCAGAGGGGACAGAGGGGAGCAAGTGTGGTCCACGCAGTTCCTGCAGTGAGTACCTGCTGTGTGCCAGGCTCTATGCAGAGGGTTACAGGTCCTGGGTGTCTAGTCTGCTCCTCTGGAGACAGACACCTAAACACGTGGCAGGCTGACTTGTCTAAGCTCCACAAGTGGCCCAGAGGGGAATTCTTTGGAGAGGGGTAGGAGTGAGGGTGGGGATGACAGGCAGGAGTTTGTGAGCAGAACAAGGCAGTCCAGGCTGAGAAGCAGAATGTGCCAAGTACCGAGGTAGGATGGGGAGGAGGCGGTGGGTGCCTGGAAGTGCCGTGGGCTAGGGGATGGGATCAGGCCTGATCTTTGAATACCTGTTTTGAAAGCAGAATAGAAGACAGACTGGAGAAGCTAAAGACCACTGGAACCCTCAGGGCCAGAGGGAAAGCAAAGCCACAGCAGGGAAGAGAGGGTAGTCCCAAGAGCTCTCTGCAGGGTCTGGTGGTGCTCCGGAGGGTGGAAGCTAGCAGGGTGGCACATGCGGTTCTCACTTGGGGGAGTGGGTGCTATTCAGGAAGAAGGGAAAAGTAGGGGTGTGTTCTAACATGTTTATACAGGGCAGGGGTTCTCAGCCTGGGCATGACCTTCAGGGTCCTTCTCTATTGTGGGCTGTCCTGTGCATCGAAGATGGGTAACATACCTGGGCCTCAACCCACTCAATGCCAGGAGCAGAGCCCCTCCCCAAAAGCTGTGACAGTCAGAAATGTCTCCAGACATTACCAAGTGTCCCTTGGGGGAGAAATTGCCCCCAGTTGAGAATGACTGATTTAAGGGCTTGAAGGGATTTCTGGGTGTAAGAAGTTGCATATGTAAGTTTGGGGCTTGGGAAGTGATGGTGGAGGGGTTTATCTACCTCTGTCCATCCTTCCTTCTTTCCCTCCATCCTTCCTTCCACCCAAACTTCCATCCATCCACCCACATCCTGGCATTGACTGGGCACCTGCTGTGTCTGAGTTCAGGGTGAATGTGCAGGGCACAGACTCCTCCAAGCAGAGAGAGCAGGATCAGGTTTATAAAGAGGAAACCCTAGCAAGAGCTTCCCCTAGAGCTCACAGGGGTCTGTGGGGGTGGGGGGTGTTCAGCACGGGCTCTTGAGGGAGCAGCTGGGTGTGTGACATCCCCATCAACTGTCACCTTCAGAGTACTTGAGTCAGGAGGAGTATGACACCTCCAGCCAGAGAGGGGACATCATCCAGGAGAGAGAGGCATCCGGTGGCCTCTACTGTGTCACCCGCAGAGCAGTTGAGTCCCTCATGGGAAAGGTAAGGGGTGGGGTAGGGGCTGGGAGGAACTCCATCTCCAGAGGAGGGCGAGGGGAGAAGGCAGGAAGGGCCAACCTCCAGGGCCCCCTGGAGCACCCAGGATTGGTGCCTAGCTCATCTCTGGCTCCATCACAGAAAGATCAAACTGTTACTGCCATGTGGGATCCACGGCACCTTGAGCAAGACTTAACTTCCCTGAACCTGTTTCCTCGACACAGGAGATGTTTAATAAACATTTGTTAAATGAATGAATAAACTGGAGATAATACTCCATGTTTTAAGGCTCAGACAAATATATGAAAAGCTCACTGAGAATGATAAAATTTTCTGTTGATACAAAGCAGTTAGGAACACCTGTGAGCCAGAGGCACAATGGCCCCGTCTCCTTCTAACCTCCAAAGAGGCTGATGGAGCCACCGACTCCTAGGGTTTGAGCTCCACACAAAGCCTCCCTCAATCCCAGTGGCCTGATTTCTAGATCAGAGGTAAAAAGTCAAATGGAAAAAAAAAAAAAGTCAAACGGATAGAAACTTTTATTTTTATTTTTTTTTCATTTATTTTTATTAGTTGGAGGCTAATTACTTTACAACATTGCAGTGGTTTTTGTCATACATTGAAATGAATTAGCCATGGATTTACATGTATTTCCCATCACGGTCCCCTCTCCCACCTCCCTCTCCACCCGATCCCTCTGGGTGGATAGAAACTTTTAAAACTGTACAGCAAGCATGCTCATATACAAAGGGGCATTCCCAAATTCTTCTCCCCATCTCCTTTGCAAACTTCAGTCCTACCCACACCCTTCCCTCCATGTCTTCCCTGAGTGTGGGCCCCCCTCGTGTCCTCTGAGGCTGAGGCTCACTTCTCTCCCCACTCCCCGAAGAACACCCACGCCCTCCTGGACACCCAGCTGGACAGTGTCTGCGTCCTGCACAGGATGGAGATCTTCCCCATCATTATCCATGTCTCCGTCAATGAGAAGATGGCAAAGAAATTCAAGTAGGTGAACCCCTGGGGGCTGGTGGTGGTCTTTGAATGGGCGCTGGAACTCCCCGTGAGGCCCATGGTGAACACATCTGGAGCCTGTGTCGGGGTTTCCAGGATCTCCCCCTGTGCCAGCCCCTGAGTGTCACAGGGCAGTTCCCCCACAAAATCCAGGACAAAGGCCCTGTAGCCAGCCCCCAGGAGCAACCCAGAGGACAGTAAGGTGAGACCCTAGAACCATACCTTGGCTAAGGCCACATGTTTCCTGGGGTACAGTTAACAGTCCAACAATGTCAGGTGAGGACAGAGACTGAAAAACACTCCTTGGTTCATAACTGGGACAAACCCAGACGTCCTGCTGCTCCCTTTGTAATTTCAGAACTGAAGTTGTAAACTAGACCACCTTCCGTTAGTGCAACATCATATAGGGCCCCAGTTGTATTTTCTTCATGAGGCATTAGGTTACCTTGAATCAGGCCACCCGTGTCTAGGGTATCTAGACAGCTGTTGCATCATCAGTCCATCCAGGCCCCTAGAATTCCAAGCTGGCAGCTGGTTTCTGGGGCTCTGTGCTGGCAGACAAGTGCAAGGCTCTCCCTAAGTCACCCTCCCATCTCCGGCCCTGGCAGGAAGGCTCTGCAGCGGCTAGGTACCGCAGAGGACCAGTTCCTGGAGGCCGCCAGGCAGGAGGAGGCTGAGCTGGATAAAGTGCCCTGTCTATATAGCAGCCTGGCCCCCGAAAGCTGGAGTGACCTGGATGCCCTGCTCGGCTGCGTCCGCCTGGCCGTCATGGATGAGCAGAAGAAGGTCGTGTGGACAGAGTAGAGGCCTTGCTGATGGCCCCTGTCATGAACAAATTTAGAAAATGAACTTTGATATATTTTACCAAAATAAAAAGCTTTTACAGAATGCTCAGGCCTGTGGCTCCCCTCCCATTCCACAGGATGGAGATGATGGGGGTGGGGAGGGCAACAGGAGTCCATCCACTTGAGAGAAGGCCCCTTTTCTGGGCTCTCCCATGCAGAGCTTCTGTTCCCAGGTGGGCGGAGGCAGGGTAGGTCTGGAGTGCTGTCTGTGCTACAGACTTGTGTTCATCCAGGATTCACCCAATGAGTGGGGCAGTTTCACGCCTTCAGCAGTGGCATCTTCATCCTGGGACCCTCTCAAAAAGAAGGGCAAGCTCTGCCCATACAGGCCCCAGGATGACACCCGTCACTCAAGGAGCCTGCCAAGAATGAGCAGTCTCACAGAAACCCAGCCCAGGGGTTGGGAGCCTGACTATGGGCAAAGTGAAGAGAGAAGAAAGCCCAAAGGTCCTTCAGAGGCTCCCTATCCAGACCAGGATTGACAGATGCTGTCCCCACACTGAGTGTGGTCTGCACCCACCCGCTACCCTCGTGGCACATGGAAACCCACCTCCTCTCAGGTGAGGAACACAAGAACATCTGTGGTTTCCAAAGAACCAAGAGCATCTGAAGCCCCATGTCCCAACCACATTTTTCCCTGCAAGTCCCCGGACCATCCTCATGTTGTCACAGGTTGGGGATCCTGCAGCATCTTGGGTACCCCCCAGGAATTCATGTGCCAGGACGCAGCTCAGACTCCGGACAGTGGGCCCCCACTATAGGGGCAGGAAGAGCCTCACAGCTCGTTGTGGAGTGGCCTGCACTGGGGAGCCAGCTTTTCCTCCAGCACCCCATCCGGAGCACACACCCAGGGGTCATGGGTCTCCCACTGCCACTTGACCAGCTGGGTCTGAAGCAGTTCCAGAACCTGGGCATAGCGGAGGTCGGCAGCCAGGTTGTGGGTCTCGTGGGGGTCCTGGCTCCTGTCATAGAGCTCCCAGCGCTCCCGGTAGTAGTAGTGATGCAGGTCCTTATACCAGCCTGTGGGTTGGCCAGCTGTGGTGCGATTCAGGAGGTCCTGGAAGGTCGGTGAGACATAGAAGTCCTGGTCGATGGGGAAGGGCATCTTGAAGTGGAGGTTGTGTACAAGGTGGAAGTTCTGGTGGTACACGGAGCGCATGGGGTAGGACATGGTGACCTCGTGGTAGCTCTGGCTGCCGAAGACTGTGGTCCAGAGGGGTTCCGCCTCCAGTACTGGGAGGAGGGACCGCCCAGTGAGCTGGACGGTCTTTGTGCCAAAGATGGCATAGCTAGGGTAGGGGATGGAGAACCAATCCAAGATGGTGGGCGTGAGATCTGGAAAGGAGATGGCATCTCAGCAGGATGGGCCCTCCAGGGCACTTGTCCAGCCCCCTGGAAAGGGTGAATCCAAGCCACTCTGGAAGCTGGTGGGCCGCCTCGCACATCAAATCACCAACAGGGAGAAGCTGCTAGGGGTCAACCCATTGCTGCTGCGTCACCCTCCGGGCTATGATGCCTCCAATATAACAGGAGGCGCCAATTCCGTGATACCCAGAATTCTAAAATCCTTGAGGAAGGCCCCTAGGGACCTATTCCTGCTCTGTGTTGCAGCTGTAACACTCCCTGACCTTGGAGCCAAAGGGAGATGTGAGCCCTGAGCCATGGGGGCCCAAGCATGCTACTGCCCTGACCCCTCAAAGTGGGTTCAAGGTGCATCAGAATCACCTGGGAACTTGTCAGAAATGCAAATTTTTGGACACCATCCCAGACCTACTGAATCACTCCATGCAGTGGGATATTTGGATCCTAGCAAGTGCTCCAGGTGACTGATGCTCCCCAATGGTCCAGTGGAAAAATGATAGGCGTGAAGGCAGTGAGACCCAAACTAGAATCCAAGTTTGGTGCTTACAAGCTGTGTGACCTTGGACTTCTTACTTTACATCTCGGAGCCTCATTTTTGCAACTGTAGAATGGGGGTGACCACATAAGGCAGTGGCTAAGGAGCAACATCTGGACGCTGTGGTCCCACTAGACATTCACTTCCTCCCTCACCCCCCACTGCCACCCGATCTCTGCTGTATGGGATGTAGTCTTACCTAAGAGGCTCACGTAGGCCTCACTGACCTGGCCCCAGCGTTTTGGGTGCTCCGGGGACGATACCAGCATGGGCTCTGCAGTGCCTGGCCAGTACAGGTTGGTCCTGCCGCTGGGGAAGGGGATCCCATTGTCAGATGTGAAGATGACCAGGGTGTCATTGAGGACGCCTGCTCCACGCAGCTCCTGGAGCACAAGTCCAATCCCTGCAGGGTGTGGAGGGGAGAGCAGAGCTCAGACACAGGCAGACATGCAGTCATGGGAATGTGTGTGCACTCCTGCATTTCTTCATCAGACCCTGCACCATTGATTCCTTCAGTCACCCCTGCCTTCCTTCCCACCAGCCAGGCTCCTGCCCAGCAGATCCCAAGTCAAGGATCTCAAGATGACATAATCCTAAAGTACCTAAGCAGTCTTTAAATCAGGTGATGAGTCTCTTTATATAAAGAGGAGAGACAAAGTCTAAAGAGAAGATACGGGAGGAAGACATATGATAACAGAGGCAGAGATCAGAGTGAAGCAGCCACAAGTCAAGGAACACGTGGGGCCACAGGAAGCTGGAAGAGGCAAGGACTCTCCCTCAGAGGCCCCTAAGAGAACACAACCCTGCAACATTGTGACTTCTGGCTTCTGGTTCAAGATGGGGGCCTAAGACGTGCCCTATCCCATCGCCTGGGCTCCCTGAACCCACCTTGGTCCATCCGGCCAATGGTGGTGTACTGAGCAGCCAGGTCAGCTCGGGCGGCTGGAGTGTCAGGGACGAAGTAAGGCACCTAGGATGGGGCAGGTGGGTGGAAAGTCAAGGTTAGAACAGATGGGTTGGGGAGGAGACAGAGTGGTCAGTCCTTAAATTTGCGTGGGAAATACAGGTGCCAGCCCTCCTCCCAGGGCCCAAAATCATCTTCCTTCCTGAATGGACTAATCCAGAAGATCCATGCTTCTGGGAACATCATCCATGTCTTTTCCCTTCTCTCTGCCATCCCATTGATGGGGACCTGGCTCCAATGAGTCAGAGTCTCTTCTTACACACCTGGGGCCAGGGCTGCAAACCCACCGGAGGGGCACAGGTCACCCGATTTACAAAGTGGAAGAAGAAGGGTAGTTCTTGGAAACGTGGAGAGGGGCCCTCCTACCTGCACATCCTTCGGGTTGTAGGTCTGGGGGGTCCAGTCTGGAATCCGCCCCATGCCACTCTCCCCATTGCCAAACTTCTCACAGAACGCCCCATACTGTGGCTGGGAGTGCCCGCAGCGGTGGGGGTCATGGAAGGCGACATAGAGGAAGAAAGGCCTGCAGGTGGAGGAATGGGCTTGAGCACTGAGGTCAAGGTCAGATGGCTGACCCATCACCCTACTTCTACCCTGGGGAGCCTCATCCCTCAGGAAGGAACACCCCCCAGCTTTGCCTACACCCCTACAACTGATGACCTCTCTGTGATCCGTGCCACCTCAGGTTCCCCATGTCTCCCCTTCCTCTTGACCAGATCAACTTGAGTATCGGGAATTTTCTCCCCCACCCACACCCCAGCTGTCTGAGGACTCCGAGAATCCCAACCAAAGACTCTGGGAACCGCATTCAGTATTAACTGCCCAGAGGTCTGGCTAAGTGAGGGCGGTAAGGGGGGACTCTGCGCACCTGTTACCCCGCGTCTGCAGGAATTTCCGGACCAGCAGTTTAATTCTAGTGATGTTCCGCCCAACCTGGAGGACAGAGCCATTCTCCTCCGTGTACGCAAAATCAAATGGATACACCATCTCCGGCCCCACGTGCTTCTTCCCAATGATGCCTGGAACCAGGGAGACAGGCCTGTTCAGAGCCCCTTTGGTTTCCCATTCCCTTCTGCCCCCTTCTCTGCTCCCCAGACCCTGTGTCTTGCTACGGCCTCTAGGAGGGCAGCAAAGCCCTTGTTCTCATGTGCCCATAGCCCAGTCAGGATCTCTGGGGCAGGATGGGAAGTTGCTCTCTTGCCCCTGGGGCCACACGAAGCCCCTCACCTGTGTGAATGCCAGCTCGGCCCAGCAGCAGCGGCAGGCTCTGCACCCGGTCGAAGGAGTTGAAGTGGTGGACATCCTGGTGCAGGCCGTACATTCCGTTCTGATGCTGCAAGCAGAGTTGCTGTGATGCAGGATGCTACCTGGTCCTACCAGCCCTGCCCTCTGTCTCCCCCTGCAACGCTCCCACTCTCCCAGGCTCACCAACCTGGCCCTTCACAGATCCCTGACTTAGCGTCCTCAGAGAGGTTTTCTCCGTCTCACTCCCTGCCCAACAGGCCCACAGTTTCTCCCCATGGGACTTTGGCAGGAAATACAACAGACTGGGAGGATGTACACCAAAATTAGGAGTAGCCTTTACTTTCTTCTTTTTGCATATCTATACTTCCCAATTTTTCTATCAAGACCACACACTATTGAGTGAAAGCCATCCCAGCAAGCCGTTTTATAGCATGAAAGAAATTGTCATACATGTTACAAACTCAGACTAGAGAGATACAAGAAGGTAAACCCCTGTCCTTATTCCTGCAGCCCACTGTCCAGAGGTGAGCATGGCCTACAGCTGCCTGATTAACCTTTCAGGAAGCTTCTGTGTTCAGGTCACAGTCTCCTCTTTATGTAGGCCTTCTCTTCACTGGCTCAGGCTCTCAGAAAGAAACGCACAGACCACAGCTGTGTTCCCATAAAATAATGTTGTAAGGTAACACATCAAGAGTAAGTGCCCATGTACACCTGGTTCACAGTAGCATTATTCCAATAGCCAAAGGTGGAATCAACCCAAGTGTCCATTAACAGATGAATTGATACACAAAATATGCTCTGTCACACAATGGAACATTACTCAGCCTTGAAAAGTAGTGAGTTACTGACACATGCCACTACTCGGGTGAAGCTTGGGGACATTATGCTGAGTGAAACCAGCCAGTCACAAAAAGGCAAGTACTGTGTGACTCCACTTACGTGAGGTACCGAGAGTAACCAAATTCACAGAGACAGAAAGTTGACTGGTGGTTGAGGCTGGTGGTGCAGCAGGAAGGAATTACTGTTTAATGGGGACAGAGTTTCAGTTTGGGGTGATAAAAACGTCCTGGATGGTGGTGATGGTTACACAACAATGTAAATGTACTTAATGCCACTGAGCTGTATCCTTAAAACAGTTAAAACAGTACATTTTAAAACTGTATTTATATATATCAGCTCAATAAAAATAGAGTAAGTGCCTTAAATGGCAGCGTTTACCGTCACACAAGCTCCTGGGACAATATCATGACAAGAATGAACACGGGCTGAGGAAATAACTGCCAGGCATCTTACTATGAGCTTTACACACAGGGTGTTAACTTGGCCAATCCTATAGTAATCCCAGGAGTGACCTATAATCATGACCCCATCTTACAGGTGAGGAGACTGAGGCTCACAGAGGTAAGTGACTGCTCACAGTCACAGGGTGCTGGAGCAGGGCTGCACGTGGACTATTTGGCTGGGGGTGACGGAGGGAAGGTGGACAATGCCCAGGGAGACAAGGGAAGTGTTCTCAGCAGCAGAGGCCTTGGGGCACTCCCTCCTCCTGCCCCCCTGCCGCCCTCACCTGGGGCAGGCCAGTGAGGAGGCTGGCGCGACTGGGAGAGCAGCTGCTGACGGAGGTGAAGGCATTGCGGAAGATAAGACTCCGGCGGGCCAAGGCGTCCAGGTGCGGGGTTGAGATGGCGCTGTTGTTGTAGACGCCACTCTCAAAGCCTCCGTCGTCCACTTAGGAAGATGGAAAACAAAGGACAAAGTGGGCTGGGATCAGAAGGAGCAGCATATAGAAATGAGAAAGACCTGGGTCCTGCAGCAGTGGCCTGGGCCAGTGATGTCTAAGCAGTTATGATACCTGGGCAGGTGTGATTCCCAGCTGGGCATGATATTCAGCAGGCCTGTTACTTGAGTGAGAATGCCACCAGACATGTATGAAAAGTGGGTGAACATGTTAGGAGGCAGAGTGAAAACTCAGGTAGGCCTGAGCTCCAGGCAGGTATGCCCATGCAGTCCTGGGCTCTGAAGACATGCATGAGGATATGGATCCACGTGCAGGTTCTCTGCCCATGCCCCTCAAAGTGGGGGAGCTGAAGGGAGTCCCTCAGTGCAGGGCTGTTTATGTTACAATTAGCTGAAGGGCCTGCCCAAGACCACAATGTTAATCAGAAAGCGAGACCCTGGCAGACAGCCAGACCTCAAAAGAGGAAAGAATCGGGTTGTCTTGTGAGAGCTGGGCCCTGGTTACCCAAACAGGAAGTCTTGTGAACAGCGGGGTGCTAGAGGAACTTCGGGTTTCAGGGTGGTGGGGGCCAGTGGAGAAGGTGGGTGGGGGGCTGCTCTCTTCAGCCAGGAGGAGGAGAGCTGAGCTACAGCGCTCTGGGGTCTAAAAAAGGAAGGGCAAACAAGGGTTATCACTGCTGGGAAGAAGATGAGAGCCCGAGGGCACCCTGACTGGTCTTTGGGGCCTTGGGGACCAGCCCCCACTTCTGGCATCCGCTCCGTAATCTCTGGAAAACCGCCCAGCCTCCCCTGGTGGGGAGCGGAGACCGCAGGGCTAGCCCGGGCTGCGCCGGGGTACAGGGTCAGAACCGGGGGCAGGAGAGGAGTGTGAACGCTAGTCCCGACCCCTCCAGACCCTCCAGTGGGCGGGGCTGCCTCTGCCTGCCTCTCCAAGGAGCTGATCACAAACAGTCTGGGGCCAGCAAAGAAAGGAGCCGGGGAATGAATGGAAATGAGGGCTGCAGGGCACTGAGAGTTAGCACTGGCCGCTTCTGGGAGACCCAAACGGCGGCGGTAGAGGGCAGTGCCCGGGGTGCCAGCGGGTCAACACTTACCGAGGATCAGCAGCACGTTCCGGGGGCGCGCCCGGTGCACACAACAGAGAGCCACGGAGATCAGCAGCACCCCGCAGACCTGCCCAGAACTTCGCATGGTGGCGGCTCCGGCCTGGCCGCCGTCCCGCGGTCACGTGAGCACCAGAGCCGCCCCGCCCCGCCCTCGGTCACGTGTACACCAGGCCCGCCCAGGACCCGCCCCCGCTCCCGCTCCCCCTCCCTCTCCGGTTTCTGCAGACCCGCTGCGGAGACGACGGGAGACCCGGAGCTGCGGAGACGACGGGAGACCCGGAGCTGTGGCGTCCGGTGAGTGCGCGGCGGACAGCGGCGGGGCCTGGGACCGGGACCGGGTGAGCAAGCCTCCCGGGTACCGGCCGGGATCGCTGGTGGGCGGCCGACTCGGGGGGCGACGTGGGGTTCGAGAGTGCGGGCGCCTCCCGCGGGGACCCCGCTCCCACCCACTTCATCCCCACCCAGGTCCCCTACACACTCCGTCTTGCTGGGGCTAGCAGGCCACAGACGGTCAGCCAGCGTGGAATCCCCACGCCTTAGACCCCAGCGTCCGGGGCAAGAGGCTTTGGGGGTGGGGGGCAGCTTCTGTCTGGAACATCCTAGCTAGGGCCGGGAGTAGAGGGGGCTGAGACGGGCTTTGCGCCTGGGGCGCCAGGACGGGCTTTGCGCGCCAAGGGCGCCAGAGAATGCGCGACCCAAATTAGTGGGGGAGCCGCTGACGTTCGTTCAGAACAGACTAGAATACCTAGGGCTCCTCTAAAGATGAAACGCCACAGGTGGGGGTTGGGGTGAGGCGCAGCCTTGGGGTGGGAGCCCCCCCACCACAGCGCCGCAGTCTGCCGTAGTGGGTGGAGCCTGCTGTGGTGCGCACTTGGAAAATCTCCGGACGCTCGCACGTCCAGTCACCCCTCCCACTCCTTGCCGGACAGCTGTGGCTGTCCCCGTGGACCTGCTTTTCTCTGCACTGCTCCCCGTTAAATTTTCAGGGAGAGCGGGGAATAAAAAAGGAAATAAATTTTCCTGGGAAGCGAAACGTTGAATCTCGTTACCATTTAGGCTTCTCATTGAGAAATCATTTTTCTTTTTTTTTTTTCTGGGCCAGAGTTGATGGCGGAAGAGAAGGCACCTAGGGTCTGGGCAGGTGGGGTTCAGCGAGAGCAGTCGGTGAGGAGGGGGCACTGCACCTTCCATTGGGGGCTTCTCTACATAAGCTGTTGGTTTCCTGTCTCAGATCAGCAAGGTGGGGGCAGATTTAACTCGTCTGGCTCCACCCCTCTACGTGGGAGAGACCAATGGCGCATCTCTTGAGGTCTCTGGGCAACCCCCTCCTCCCTTATTGCTGGATTTTCTGAAGCCCAGACACTGACTGCTGGTCTGTGTCCTACCCCCCTCTCCAGACATGTCGCCTCCTATGTCTCCTATGAAGCCACCCAAGGGCTTTGCCCCTATGTCCTGCTGCTGGTCCACTGAGACCATGCAGAAGTGGCTACCTTTCCTGGGCTGGCTGCCTGACTACACCTGGTATGCCCTGAAGATGGACTTCATCGCTGGGATCTCAGTCGGGCTCACAGTCATTCCCCAGGCACTGGCCTATGCCGAGGTGGCTGGACTCCCTCCCCAGGTGAGCTGTCTGCCCCTCCTGCTCCCCACCTCCTTTCCCCTCAGCCTGACCCCACTCCAGGCCTTAGTGCTCATCCAGGAGCAGAGTAGAAAGGCATAGTATCACCTCCAGACAAGGGGGCACCCTGGGCTCCAGTCCCACAAAGACTTATTTTGTAACCTAGAGCATGTGATGGCCTTAGGGCAGACACATGCCCCTATAACCCTTCTTGTCACAGTTGTTACACACGCACCAAGTTAGCTCTGGATGGCCTGATGGGGCCAGCGAGATGACTCACCCTGGCTTTAAGAACCCTTTCTCAGGCTCATGGACTCGGACATAAGAACACTAGGCCCCAGGTGGGTGTGGGTAGAAAAGAGGCCCCTACTCACTGTAGGTCCACAACCTTGGGTAACAGAGGGTAAGCAGTTTGCCCCGCCTGTATGTACTGCTGTGCCCATAATACACAGCAGACAACACAGATTCCTCTGCCCAGTCAGCTCCGCCAGGGACCCCAGGGGTGTGACATGTGCCTCATGGGTATTCATTGCTCTCTCTGCCCAACAGTACGGCCTCTACTCTGCCTTCATGGGGTGCTTCGTATATTTCTTTCTGGGTACCTCCCGAGATGTGACACTGGGCCCCACGGCCATCATGTCCCTCCTGGTCTCCTTCTACACCTTCCACGAGCCTGCGTACGCTGTGCTGCTGGCCTTTCTGTCAGGCTGCATCCAGTTAGGCATGGGGTTCCTGCGCTTAGGTAAGACTCCCAGGCCTTCCTGCCGTGAGGGTGGGGGGCTACAGTTCTCCTGGGGATGCCATGCCTTCAGCAGTTCCTTCTTTGCATTTCAAGGGCTGTCCCAGTGTAGATGTGTGTGTGTGTCTAAGGAAGGATGACTCTCAGCCCTTCCCTATTACGCTCAGCCAGGACGCTTGGAGAAGTGCCCATGGGCTCAGTCCATAGTCTCTCCTGCTCTCCAAACCAGCCCAAACCGGGCATGCCCTCCACTGGTCTCCAGCCCCAGTCGAACCCTCACCTCTCCCAGCCAGCTGAGCCAGTAGGGCTGGGACCAGCGTGGTGTTCCCTCTTGGCTGTCCAGGGCTCCTGCTGGACTTCATCTCCTGTCCCGTCATTAAGGGTTTCACCTCGGCCGCTGCCATCATCATCGGCTTCGGGCAGATCAAGGTGAGCACGCTACTTGGCCCTGGGGCAGCTGCTGGCTGACAGGACTGAGGCTGTGTCCTGATATGTGTGGGCCTGTCATACTCTTGCTCTTTGAGGGTCCAGAGCCTGTGGTGCTGACCCGAGTCTCCATTAATAAAACCATCCTTTGGGGGAGCTCTTGAGTGATGGCCAAGTTCTACCACAGGTAATTTGGGGAACCAGTAATGACAGCCCCCACACTTGTCAGTGTTTTCATGGCTAAGTGCTTGGTTCACCTCACAGAGTTCTGCAGCCTCTAATACACACTCAGCCGTCAGGTCTTCACAGATCACAAGCATACTGCCAAAATTTTGACAAGCAAATTGCTCCCCCAAGCTAGTTTAGCTAGGTGATTTCATTTTTATGTCTCCCCACCCCCAACTTCTCATTCAGTGTTTTTCAAATATCATGCTCCTTTATGTTTCCATTTAAACGTCTGGGGCAAGTATTAGAATCAGTAATCATCCGTCATCTGAGGATATCATTTGTTCTCCTTCCACTGGGTTCTGAGTGCCTGGAGGGCAGGGACTGTTTTGCTTCCAACGTGGCTGTCCCGAGCTGTGCTGTGCAGAATGAAACTGAGCTGAATCGTAGAGATTCAGGGTCACAGACACATGCACACACCAGGCTCTCCATGGTGTGAGTCCCACTGTCAGGCTCCGCTTCAGTCTGGCCGGTGACAGTCTTCGAGGATGGAGGCCAAGTAAGAAAGTGAGAACACAAAGCCCCAGAGGGGTACTTGTGAGAGAGACTAAGGTAGCTGACCCGTTTGGGTGTGGGACTGACTGCACTCTGCATTTGGTTCTCACAAGTCCTCTGGGAGGTAAGCTTGTCATTATCTCCATTTACAGGGGAGGAAACAGCCTAGAACAATGTGGGTAAATTCAAAGGATAGATTATGTACACACATATGTCAGGGTAAGCTTGGCAAATGCTGTTTCGTGGGATGCTGTGTCCTTTATTCTGGAAACATTATCCTTCATTTTTAGTGTCAAAAATGCTCTTTTTTTAATAACAGTGAGAGGGTAGCTGCTTTACGCATCCTATTCGACAATCCTAGGCCCTGTCTTCAAAACCTTGACTATGTCATAACAGCCCTCTGAGAGCCTTTAGGCTGGGGTGGGGTGGGGTTCCTCTTCACCTGCCCAAATAGGAGTCCCCTGCCCAGGACAGAAACCCCTGTGTGTGTCCCACCTCCTCAGTGTCCTTCACCTTCAATGGCTGTGTGCACAGCGGGTTGTGGGGTCCTTGGAGCCTAACCACCCTGGGAGTCTGGCCTCGACTGCCCCTTCTGATCCCAGCCAGATAAAGAAGTAAAGCACAGAGCGGCGCCACTTCTCCCTGACGAGGACTGCTAATTTGGCCCCGCTCCCCCCTCCGCGGCCCGCCCCCCGCGGCCCCACCTGCGCAGTTCTGCCTGTCTGCGCAGATTTTTCCCTCCGGTAGGGGGTGGTGCCCGGAGGGCGGGCCTCCGAGTGACGGACGCGGTCTCGGGCCAATGGCGGCGGGGCCTATGCTGTTGAGGGCGGGCCGCTAGGTGATGGACGAGGCCGCCGGCCACAGGCAGCCGGGTCTGCACGGGCGGGTCGGCGCCGCAGGACTCTGGACCGTGAGCCATTAATCGGGGCACTTGTTGAACCAGTTTCATTGGCTGGAGGTCGCCCATGCTGATTTTCCTCGGACAGGAAAATAATTTGCAAAGGCCTGAAACAACGTGAACTTTGTGAAATGCCCTCCGCGTACCTTCTCCCTTGGGGAGGGATGACTTCCATCTGCCCGTGGGAGGCTTTGGGAATGGACTTAGATAAGCCCGGTAGAGCCAGCAAGTGTTTTCCCTCAGGAAGTGCGCTTGAGGGTGGGGGACTACAGGTTTAGAATGATATTAAGACGCTGCAAGGGAGAGGCCTCAGGGTTTATGTTGCAGAAAGTTGTCTAACCACAATCTCTGTTTGAACAGAACCTGCTGGGACTGCAGCACATCCCCAGGCAGTTTTTCCTGCAAGTGTATTACACTTTCCACAACATCGGAGAGACCAGGTACTGGTCGGCTGAGTTTCTGCCCCCTGCATTAGTAAGCTCTTCCTTGTAGACCCCTCTCCCAGTCCCCTCCCCATTTCCACTCCCAGTTGGCATTTATTCCAGTCCTCTGGGGCCCTGCTGCTTAAACAGGGGTCCCATGAGCAGTACCATTGGCATCACCTGGCAGCTGGTAAGATATACACACTCTGGCCGGCACAGACCTGAATTGGTCAGGTTGACAAGAGCCCCAGGGTATTGGCCAGCATATTGATTGAAGCTTGAAAAAGCTCTGCTCCAGTCAGTCCCATGCGCTGGTCAGCATGACCCCAGGCAGGGATTTCTCAGTTGGTTGAAGTAAGAAGAGACCATGAAAGGGAAGGGCAGGCAGTCTGTCACTCAAAGAATCCATAGTTCAGCAAAGAGGAGAACGTAGGGCAGGGGGAGGCTGAGGCCGGCAGATACGCAGGTTCCCAAGGGATGGGCAACAGGTAGAGGCAGTTCCCTTAGCAAGTGCCTCCCTCAGATGGAACTGTGTCTCCCAGAGGGCCAGTGGGTTAAAGGGATAAATAGGTGATGGTCCTGGCCACAGGTCAGGACCCCTCTCTGACTGGAGGGGCAAGAGGAAGAAATGACCAGGAGGGAGCTGTAGGGGGAGCTACCTGGAGGGAGTCGGGGAGAAACTCTGTGACCATCGTCTTCTTCCCTTTTGATCTGTTGCTGAGGTTTCCAGGCCCATAAGATGTACCTGGTGGGGGTCACAGGGGGCAGTGGAGATGGAGATGGACTGGTCAGAAGTGAGTCTTCTGGAACCAACGAGTCATTTGTAGCCCAGAGAGCTACAAACTGAAACTATGAGTGGTAGTGCAGTTACCACTGTGATCTGGCCCTCAACTCCTAGGGCCTGCATACCTACTAAGTTTTTTTTTTCCTACTAAGTTTTGAATAAAGATTTGAAGTGGAATAGGGACACAGATTTCTTAGAAAAAAGCAAAAAGAGCATTCGAGAGAGAAAACTTTGCAGCAGCCAAAGGCCAGAAGGCCGGTGCTGTCGGCGGGGTTGGGCAGTGACTGGTGTCCGTCTGCAGGGTGGGCGATGCGGTGCTGGGGCTGGTCTGCATGGTGCTGCTGCTGGTGCTGAAGCTGATGCGGGACCACGTGCCTCCTGTCCATCCCGAGATGCCCACTGGAGTGCGGCTCAGCCACGGGCTGGTTTGGACTGCCACCACAGGTGAGGGAGCCTTCCGGCTGAGGGGGCACTTCCACAGCTATCTTCTCTAACCTGGGCTCACGTTGTGGTCACCCCAGGAACCGGAATCCCACCCGTCGAGATTCTCATGTCACTCACTAGGTGGTTCTGATACGTAGTCAGCCTGGAAACTGGTTTAGCAGCAGAAGTTCTCCACCAGGAATGACTGTACACCATGCCCCTGCCCCTCAACTGTGGGACTTTTGCCAATGTCCAGAGACATTTGTGGTTAGCCCTGTGGGGCAAAGCTGTTTCTGGCATGTGATGGGTGGTGACCAGGGACATCAATAAACATCCTGCAGTGTACAGTTGCCCATGGCAAAGAATGATCTGACCCAAAACAGCAGTGCAAAGGCTGAGAAACCCTGTCAGGTCTCTGGGGGAGAAAACTAGTTTCACTGAGACAAACTGGTCCTGTTTTAATTGTGCAGCTGCAGAGGGTAAGGACTTTGCTAATAGGTTACTTGATAAAGAATCCACCTACAATGCAGGAGACCCTGGCTCAATTCCTGGGTTAGGAAGATCCACTGGAGAAAGGATAGGCTACCCACTGCAGTATTCTTGGGCTTCACTTGTGGCTCAGCTGGAAAGAATCTGCAATGTGGGAGACTTGGGTTCGATCTCTGGGTTGGGAAGATCCCCTGGAGAAAGGAAAGGCTACCCACTCCAATATTCTGGCCTGGAGAATTCCATGGACTGTATAGTCCATGGGGTCGCAAAGAGTTAGACATGGCTGAGTGATTTTCACTTTTCACTTTCAGAGGGTAAAGATTTTGCTTTGGGCCTGGAATCAGCCAGAGGATCTGTAAAGAAAGGCTGAGATGAAAGGCTGCCAGATGAGGAGAGTTCACGAGACCATTGGCTGGTTGAAGGGCCATCTCTGGGTAGTGGAGGTGAGGGATGGGAGTTGGATGTCAATAGAAATCTCTCCACTGAGCTGCCACTAGGTGACACCAAGATAGAATTGCAAGTATAGCAAAGCACGGAAGTGCTGATACCTAGTGGGCCTTCCCAGAGCTGAAGGGAACAGAAGTTACCCTACTTGGACCTACTCCTTGGCAGCCATGAAATCCAGCCACATGTGAGAAGGGGTGGCTAGATTCTTAGCCTTTGAGTCACTTCCAGATTCTCCAGCTGGTTCTCAGTCCCTGGAATCACTCACCAGATCCTGTTCTGCAGCCTGAAGGCCATGGGTAAATGTTGAGCACTCCAGATGGTGGGGAGGGTGGAAGAGCACTGGGTTTATAGTGACAATTCCTGGGGACTTACCTGGTGATTCAGTGGAAACTGCAGGGCGCACAAGTTTGATTCTGATCCAGCAACTATGATCTTGCATTCTGCAAGGTGTGGCCAAAAAATAAAAACAACTCTCTGAGCTTCTAATATACTCTTTTCTGTATTCCTCCAGCCATCTATAGGTAACTTAAAAAAAAAAAAATTCTGTTTAAGAAAAAAGCAAAACTCCTGGCTTCAAGTCCTAGCTTAGCCACTTGGCACTTACATGAGTTGTTTTCAAAATTTTATGCACTTTAGTATAGTCATCTGTAAGATAATGAAAACAGGTTCTGTTGTCTAGAAGTTTGACACTGAAAGTGTGAACTCAGACCAGCAGCTTGGAAACTTGTTGGAAATGCAGACTCTCAGGAAGTACTTCACAAACATCACTTCTTTTGATTCTCATCACAGCCTTGAGGATAGGATATTATTTTCCCTGTTTTGCCAGTGAGGGAAGTAAGGCTCTGAAGATAAAACAGACAAACCAAATAAGACTTCTCAAGGTCACGTAGGAAGGATGAGGCAGAGTGAGGACTTGCTCCCAAGTCACTTGCCCTTTTTCCTTATCAACTGATCTGAAAGTGTATTGATTTTATTTATCTCACAGAACTTTTGATTCTCTATTCTCTCAACATTGATCTCTCCATTGCTTTCTTCTAGTTCATTGATTCTACTCTGCTATTTATTATTTCCTTGCATTGGCTCATCTTAAATTTACCTTTCATTTTCAAAATCTTAAGGCAGAAGCTGAGGTCTTTGAGTCCTTCCTTCTTCTCTGATACCGTGTTCAGGATAATAAATTTCCCTGTTAAGCACCGGTTTAGCTGCAGCCCACAATTTTGATAGGTTATAGTTTTACTTTCATTTAGTTCTAAATGCTTTCTAATTTCCATTTTGACATCTCCTTTGAATTGTGGATTATTTAGGAGTGTATTATTTCATTTCTCCTTTGAACCAGGAGCCTTTTAGGAGTTAGTTTCCAAATATTTGGTGATTTTCTAATTAATATTTTGCTATTGATTTCTAATGTAACTCCATTATTGTCAGAGAACAAACTTTGTATGTACATACATATGTAGGATTATAATTTTCTCTGGAGATGATCCTCCTTATCTTGCTAATGTCCTTAATTCTCCCCATCTATCCTAGCTCGCAATGCCCTGGTGGTCTCTTTTGCTGCCTTGGTCGCATACTCCTTCCAGGTGACCGGATACCAACCTTTTGTTCTAACTGGGAAGACACCCGAGGGACTCCCCGATGCCCACATCCCTCCCTTCTCAGTGACCACTGCCAACGGGACAGTCTCCTTCACCGAGATGGTACAGGTGGGTAGAGATGGAACCCGGCCAGTTTGGCCGAGGCTGCAGTGCCCCCGACCCTGGTTCTATCTCCTGATGCATCAGCTTAGAGACCGGCAGCTCTGACCTCAGCTCGGACTGCTGCGTCCTCAGGAAGATGCGTCTCTGCTACAGAGACAGGTGTGAATGCATTCCTGATTAGGCACAGCCTCAAGGGACACAATGGATATTTTTTCCGCCCTGAGCCCAGGGGCGTTTCCGCCATCACGGACGTTGGCAGAGCAGGAATTTGTCGTGTTCTGCTCTGTGTCGTGCTCCTTGCAGTGTGAGCTCACAGCCCTGCCGCCAAAGTTACATTTGCTTCTGTCAGACGTGGACAAGCCAGTGCTTGCCTTATCGGGTCACTGCCTGGTCAGACCTCCTCTGTCCTTCCCTGGAGGGTCACTCACCACCCCTCTCTCCTCTCCCAGGGAATGGGGGCCGGGCTGGTCGTAGTACCCCTGATGGGTCTCCTGGAGAGCATCGCAGTGGCCAAATCCTTTGGTAAGATGCTCACCACCCACGCCCTCCCTGGCACCTCAACCCGGAGCTCAGCCTGCCTTGCTTGCCTGCTCTCCTGCTTGCTTTTATCTGCTCTGATTTTTAAAACTTTGAATTTTTATCCAAGTAACACATGTTTATGTTTTTTGAAAAAAAATAGTGAAAATGGATTGTCAAATGAAAAATCTCTTCCAGTAACTGGAAGTATTTGACAGTCCACTCTCTGTGGACATAAAAGGTCCTGCATTGAGCCTTTGCCAGTTGAACTTTTCTGTGTGGTATACACCCTCACGCTGCCAACTAATTTCAAGCTGAATGTGGAGTCTGAACATTAAGGTCCTGTGATGAGATATGAAATAGCCACTATCCATTGTACGCATACAGCTAAGTAATTTCATTGGTCATAATGAAAGGTAATAAAGTACATTAGGAATGGACATATTTTAAGTATTATCTTTGTTTTTAATGTAATTGATTTAATTGAAATTTTTCATGTAATTGGTAATAATGGCTGTATTTGACAACCTGTTAGCAAAATTCGTAAAAATTTAACAAGGTGCCCTTTCCAGGTGTCTGAACACAGCTGGTCTGTCCCTTCCGCACCCGCTCAGAGGCTGGAAAATGTTAATCTATGTATGTGTTAGCTGCTCAATACTGATTCCCTCTGCCTGAGCTGGGGCTGCCAAACCCTTCACGTGTCCCCGTGTCTGTCTTAGGTCCTTGGGCTTGTGCTCTATATTGTCCATGAGGATGACGTGCTCTTTCTGTTCTCTAGCAGGGTTAAGTCTTTGGGTCTAATTTGACTCTAAAGGTTAAAATTCAAATATATGACATGTATGTTGTTATGACTACCTAAACTGTGTTTACTGCTCAGCCCAGGTTGTGCCAGGATTCTGTTTCTTTCTTTCCCTGAAGTCCCAGCATCTGTATCCTTAGACCATTCCAAGGAGACTCTAAAGCACTCTAAAGGGTTTTCCTTTGCAAATACCAACAATCGCTCAAGACCACACTACATTTCAGTTTGTAACCTGTTCAGCTCACATCTTTCTTGCTTAGTTTTTATTTTTCTGATCCTTTTTTTTTTTTAATTTGGAGGGGCATATTTTGGAATCTGCATGTGACAACTTTTACTCATCTTGTTCATTACTTAGAAAATTGTTTTCTTTTCAAGTCCGCTGACTTTCTGTGCTCATTTGCAAAGCTTGTCGCACTCTTAAATCAAGGCTTAGTAAGCCACGGCCGGCTACCCGTCACCTAAGAGTGGCTTTTGCATTTTAAATGTTTGAAAAAAAATCTAAAGAAGATTAGGATTTGGGGACACATGAAAAGTATATGAAATTCCTATTTCAGTTCACAAATAAGGTTTTATTGGAAGATGGTCTCTTGCTCAGTTGTTTCATGGTGTGTGGCTACTTTGTGTTACAGTGGGGAGCTGAGCAGTGTGACAGAGGGTGTGATCCTCAAAACCTAAAGCATTAAAAAAAAAGAAAAAAACCTAAAGTATTGAAGACTTCCCTGGTGGTCCAATGGTTAAGAATCTGCCTTGCAATACAGGGGACATGAGTTCAATCCCTGGTTGGAGGACTAAGATTCCACATGCCACAGGGCAACGAAACCCACACTGTGCAACTAGAGATTCCGTGCGCTGCAACAGAAGATCCCATGTACCACAACTAAGACCTGATGTCACCAAATAAATAAATATTAAAACAGAACTGAAGTCTTGACAGTCTGGCACTTTATAGAAAGTTTGCCAACTGCTGTCTTAAGATTCATGCTCCTCCATGGTTTCTTCCTAAATCTTCCTGCTATCTCTCTAGGCCTCATCTGAGACTCTCTAGTCATCGTGACCTGTAACCAGAGAGCTTTTAGTTTAAAACACCCTCCCCTTATTATAAAAGCAATATTTGTCGCACAAAATATTGGCAGTTCAGAAATGGATAAAGAAAAGATGAATCACTTATAAACTCCCTTACTAGCCTAATTAACTGTTGGTAACATTTCACTCTATGTCTTTCTACTCTTTTTTGTTTTTTTTTTGTAAACACACAGACACATATACCTTTGCATATATGTATATATTTTATCTGTGTTTATATCTTATATTTATGAAACATAGTGCTATAGGGAGAAACTTGGTATCCTGTTTTATCATTTCACAAACAGTTTTCCTATGATATATATCTAGTAACAATGTTTTGTCCATTCTCTTTAGCTTCTCAAAATAATTACCGAATTAACTCCAACCAGGAGCTGCTGGCCATTGGTAAGACTCCAGCAGCGGGCGGCTCTCGGGGGCTGGGTGGTGGTGGAGCTGACACGCAGGGTGCCCAGCTGGCCCGAGTGGGGCCCTTGCACCCATCTCAGGTGATTCAGTTTAATTGCTAGGAGTAGGGTACCGACATCTAGTGTCCAATCTGACCGAGGCTCGTTGAGCACCTGCTGTGTACCTGACCCTGAGGGCCGTGGCCTGTTCTGTGTCGAGAAACACCTGGAATGTTCCTCCTGGGCTGGGGGTAGGGGCTTTCCAGGACGAGGATCAGATGGCTGAGGAATGTGGCCAGATACCGTCTCAGGTGAGCCTGCGGATCCTGCAGGATCTTGGCTGCCTTTGCTCCACCCTGTGGATGAGTTAGGACTCAAGTTGGCCCCAGCCTTCCTGACTGTGGAGGGCTGTATCTTGAGTGTCATCTGAGCTGTCTTGAGAGCAGGCCTTGAACCCATGACTGGCTGTGGGTTTTGCGGAACCAAGGAGACTGTGGTCATCTTTGTGGAGGCCACTGACTGAGGGGGCTGCTGACAAGCCAGTGGTGATGAATGTGGGCTGATCAACTCCATTCTGAGTTCCCAGCCAGGCTCCAGGCATGGGTATGTCCAGTACAGATTAATCAAAGGCTTCACTTTGGCTGGTCATCTCACGAAAGGAGTGTGGCTTTGAAGGAACTCAGACCATGAGGGACCCCAGCAGGACTGGGCACTTCGGGCCTGTGCACACTTGCCCTATTCAGCCACCACCCCGCTACCCCCCACTTCTGGGCAGTGGGATTCCATGTTCTCACACACAGGAAAAGTCATATCTAACTCACACGGGCAAGGCCGGGGGCAGAATTGCTTCACAGCTGGACTCAGCCTCAGCACGCTGGGCAAAGATGGTGGTTTGTTTTGTCCATCCTAGAGGAAGGGAGAACGCGATACAGGCTGCCCCCGCGTAGGCCCTCTCACCTCCTGCCTTCTGTCTCTCTGGTTTCTGTGTCCTTCCTTCATGTCTCCTTCCCCTCTCTGTTTCATGGTCCCTCTCCTGCATGAGCCCTTTCCTTCTGTTTTCTCCCTAGGCTTAACCAACATCCTGGGCTCCCTCTTCTCCTCCTACCCGGTCACAGGCAGCTTTGGACGGTGAGTGACCACGCGCTCCCGCTGTGTCTCCAGGGACGTCCCGCTCCCTCTGTGTCTCCAGGGGCGTCCCAGCCTCGGACAGAACGTCTTCCGACTTGAAGAACCAGCTCCCCTGCAGAGTCCTTGCCATGTCCGGGGGCCGTTTTCATGGTTCTCCCTATCTGTCTTCTCTCCCCCGGTCAGCTCTGACAGAGTTCACAGGGAGGCAGGAAGGGGACACTCCCATCTGCTTCCCTCACCTCTTTGGCTGGTTTTCTTTACAATAGTACACAGTGTTGTGGGCTTCCCAGCTGATAGCTAGGGTTAAAGAACCTGCCTGCCAATGCAGGAGACATAAGAAACATGGGTTCAGTCCCTAGACTGGGAAGATTCCCTGAAGGAGGGCATGGCAGCCCACTCCAGTATTCCTTGCTTGGAGAATCCCATGGACAGAGAAGCCTGGTGGGCTACAGTCCACGGGGTCGTTAAGAGTCAGCACGACTGAAGCGACTGAGCATGCACACACAGTTTTGCAGTTTAACATTAGAAAGATGCCCATGCATGGAAATGTTCCTAGTGTCTTGTTGCTTGAGTTAATTCCTGAGAGATAGTGGGGGCGGGAAAGACTGCAGCTCTGCCTGAGGAAGGGGCAGACTGTCAGGTGTGGTCACCATAGAAACCCCCAAAGAGCAGAAGGGCAGGGTGAGAGGGTGTCTCGTGGCTGGAAAGAGAAGAGGAGGCATCAGTGCCCAGCCCTCAGGCCAAGTCCTGGAACCCAACCCAATACTGTCTGAGCGCTTAAACCTTCCTGACACCGCAAACCCCTGTGTCAAGGGGGCGCAGGGCACATGGCCCGACCTCCAACATCTCAGCATCCCTGTCTGTAAAATAGAATCATGACAGGGCCTGTCTCATCAAATTATTTAGGGAGTTTAAAGAAAATCACGTAGAACAATGCTGGTGACTTGGTAGCTGCTGTACTAGCATTCATGAAGTAAAACCTCTAACCAGTTTTCAGGTTAACTTTTTATATGCTCTTGTTGGCATAACTGGGTTGCGAACCTGTTTAGTTAAGGTCATATTTTATGTCCCCTGATATCTAGCACAAATACAGTGTTGAACATTTGGATTTACAACCAGGCTTCTGTCAGATATGCCTATCTGTTATTTTGGGTTGAGAAGGCCCAGGAGTCCCCCCCTGGGTGAGAGGACCCAGTGCGCCAATGTCTAAGTTTCTCCACTAGGTGGCGACGTTGCCGAGGGCTCCCATTTCCCCCACTGCCCACCTCCTGCCACGGGAGCCCCCATTCTTGGAGACCAGCCATAGCTGTGTGGACCTCCCCTGCTCTCCCGGTCTGACTGACAGCCACTAATGGGTTTCTCTCACCTTCCAGGACGGCTGTGAATGCCCAGTCGGGAGTGTGCACCCCAGCAGGGGGCCTGATGACGGGTGAGCACCCCTCGAACACACACAGCATGTTCTCCCGTGTCCATGGCAGTGAGATGGGAGGAAAGGAGAGGAAGGAGCCTGGGGTGCGGGTGCTGTTGGCTCTGGCGCCCAGCTCTGTGCCCCCAGAGGGCTCCTTGCTGGGTGGGAGTCGGGCGGCAGGGCCACAAGGTCACGGCGCCCCCACACCCCCACAGGAGCCCTGGTGTTGCTGTCGCTGGACTACCTGACCTCGCTTTTCTACTATATCCCCAAGTCTGCCCTGGCTGCTGTCATTATCATGGCTGTGGTCCCCCTGTTCGACACCAAGATCGTGAGGACACTCTGGCGAGTGAAGAGTATGTGTCTCCTATCTGTCAGCCCTGAGGTTTATCAATGATCCTGCCCCTGCTGTCGGCCGCTGCTGACCCCAGCCCAGTTGGGGTGAGGTGGGGGCTTTGGGATGACCAGCAGCACCCACGTCACAGCCTCTCTTCTCCACCGTCATTTCAACTCCAGGTCCCCTGAACCTGCAGTTCATGTACTATAACAAGTTTTTACTCTGTTTTGTTTCTCAAAGGAGTTGAGGGATTTACGTGACTCCTGCATCCCTTTATCCTTGGTCCCCTGAGAAGTGCGCACTGTGGCTTCGTTCCAGGGGCCGGGGGCCAGGTTGGCCAGATAGGGAGGGACTTCCTGCCTTTGACATCCTTGAGCTGGCATGGCCTGTCAGCAGCATCAGTCCCCAAGTCCTTGCGGGGGGGGGGGGGTCCCTTGGGGGCTGCTTGGGGTCCAAGACACCTTTACTCATTACATGAAAGCCATACATGAGGCGTCCTCATCGGAGGGCTCAGGTAGTTAGGAGCTGAGCTCGCCGACGAGGGTCCTCCTCTCAGCTGGACCCCCTCTCCCAGGGCTGGACCTGTTGCCCCTCTGCGTGACATTCCTGCTCTGTTTCTGGGAAGTCCAGTATGGCATCCTGGCAGGCACCCTGGTGTCCGTGCTGATTCTCCTGCACTCCGTGGCCAGACCCAAAATACAGGTAGCCCATCTGCCTCCCTGAGGGGGAATCACCTGCCTCAGGGGGCCCAGTGGGGTGAAGTATGCCGTGGGGTGGACCCCTTGATCCCACCATCTTACACTTTGGCTCTCAGTGTGACTGCGGCCCGAGGCACTGCCGAGTGACCTTTCACCTGGTGGATGGTGTGACCCTCCTGCATTAACTGCATTAACCTCCTGCAGTGCATGGGGCCGTGGGTGGGGCCATGGGTCGGGCTCCTGCCAGCTCTGCACTCCCCATCCACCAGAAGCCTGGCAGAGCTGCCCTGTGGAACCGGCCTCCAGGGCTCACTGGCTTCCCCTGCTGTCCCCAGGTGTCAGAGGGTCCGATGCTAGTCTTGCAGCCAGCGAGCGGCCTGCACTTCCCTGCGATCGAGACCCTCCGAGAGGCGTTACTGAGCCGGGCTTTGGAAAGTACGTGGCCACATGGGCTGTGGTCACCCCCAGCTCCCCACCACCTTTTCTGCACCCAGCCTGGCTCCTGCTGGACCCCAGATCCTGCCCTCGACTGTCAGGAAGGAGCTCGCCTGCCCTTGGGTCCAGGGGTCTCAGGCATTTCAGAATTTCGTCCAGTGAAACCCCCACACCCGCCATCTGCATGCAGTAAGGGTGCAGGTCCCCGGCATGTGTCCCCTAAGGGCACACTGCTTCCGGGAGTTGGTATTCAGGGGAGAAAGGGGCTTGTTTGTCTGCCCTGTGAAGGAAACAGCTAATGGCTTGGGTCCTCGTCCTTTCCCTTTCCCATTCACACTGGGGAGGTGCTCTTGATGGCCTTACATGGCCCCAGGCCCCTGGCCAGGGCCTCCTGTGGTGGCCTGCACCCGGTGTGACCTCTCGTTTCCCCCCAGCATCCCCGCCGCGCTCCGTGGCCCTGGACTGCACCCACATCTGCAGCATGGACTACACGGTGGTACTGGGGCTCGGGGAGCTCCTGGAGGACTTCCACAAGCGGGGCACCACCCTTGCCCTCGTTGGCCTGCAGGTGGGTGTTGGCATCCACTCTGGAAGTAGCCTGGTGAGGTCTGTGTTGTCACCTTTCCCACATCAAGATGAGGCTGCCGAGGCCCAGAGAAGCCGAGTGACTTGCCCAGTGACACACAGCGAGGAGGGCGGCCAGGCTCCTGTCTTGTGGCCCCGGGCTGCAGAGCTCTGCGTGCATCCGTTATAACCTGTGTTTGCAGAGCACTCGTCTCCTATTCACTTAGGGTGTGTTCCTCTCCCAGAGGTGTGAGGCAGCCTGTTCCCACCTGGAATCACCGCTTGTCTGTCCCACAGGTCCCTGTTCTCCGTGTCCTGCTGTCCGCTGACCTGAAGGGAGTCCTGTACTTCTGCACCCTGGAAGAGGCAGGTGAGTGCGGCCAGAGAGAGCCGCAGCAGCGCAACTGCCCATGCCCGGGGGGGCCAGGACAACAGGACTGAAACCCTGGGAGACAGGAGGGTCAGGGCTTGAGTCTGAGAGTGGGGAGCACTCCGACGAGAGTAAGATAGTGGGCAGGTTGTCAGGGGACCTTTCTGCTCTGAGATTTTATCTTTTAGGATTGTATGTGAGGCACAGTTCATATGAAATGCACAGATGCTAAGTGTGAGTTTGAGTCCTGACAGATGAATGCAGTGGATATCCAGTTAGGGTAGAGATCATCTGCATCATTCCAGAAATTTCCCTCATTCCCCTGACTGCCACTGGGAGTAAGTGGCTGCTCTGATTTCTTCTACCATCAGTCAGCATAGCCTGTTCTAGAACTTCGTGTAGTGGGATCGAAGGATTCTGTGTCTGGCTTCCTTGGCTCAACCTGGTATCTATGAGATTCATCCATGTTGCTGCTAGAAGCAGCCAGAAGCTGATCCGCAGGAGCTGGATAAGCAGGTTGGGCCCAGCCACGCCATGGAACCCGCCTGGCAATAAGGAGGGTTATCATGGCACCAAGAGTTGTGAGGATGATGATGGAGACTTAGGTGAAACCAGCCCAGGGCAGGGGGGCACCAGCCCAGGGACCTTAACTCTGCACTCAAGGTCCCCAAAAATGCCAGCCTTTAATCCCATTCCATGAACTGACCCATCCTTACTTTGCTTTTTTAGTGTTTAAAAACCCTGTGTTTTCTGCAGAGAAATACCTGAAGCAAGAACCAGGGACCCAGCCCTACAATGGCAGCGAAGACTCTGTTCCGGAACACAAGATTGCCCTGCTGAAGGCCTGAGTGGGCCACCGAGGGGCACCCGACATCAGAGGGTCTCCCGGAAGGTTCTTGTTACTGTGATGCCGGATGCCACCTTGCAGATGGATCTGAGAAACCTGAGCAGGTGACCCGGAGGAGGGGGAGGGCAATGGTGTGGAGTCCACAGGTGGGACTCGCCCCTTCCTCTGAGGTGACCGAAAAGGTACCTCCCTGCTCTTCCTGTATGCAAACTCTTTTTTTTAAAAGAGTGGTTAGGAGAGAGCCTTCTAGAATGGCAGACCAGGTGAGAAAGGAAAGGGCAGGGATTTCAGCCTGGTCTAGGAGAGGAGCCCTCTTCTCACCCCAGCGCCTTCCTGGATTTTGGGGGAAACGGGGAGGGCGGGCATCTCTCAGGTGGGTTCCCTTCTTGATAGCGGCGGCTGTGCTGTTGTTGAGAGGAAAACCAAGGTTTGCCAAAAGACTTAAAGTGTCTATGAAAAGTAACTTTGTTGTGTTTTCTAAATTTAAAAAAGTGATAGCTTTGGTGTTTTTGTAAAAACCATACATGCTTATTGTAAAAACTACCAGAAGTCTTCCCCTCCCCCATCCAGTTTGGCGATAGCTCCCGACCTCCTCCCTCCACCGTATACGTACGTGTGTGTACGTTAGCATGTGGATGTGTGTTTACACTCATGTAAATGGGATCATTTCATCCGTGGTGCTCTGTGACCCACATTTTCATGCGGTCATTGCTGTGAATTATTCATTGTGATAATAAATAGAGAAGACATGATGATCAATGGCTCCATGGTATCTTATTCTATAGATGCGTCATAATTTACTTAGCAAACCGTCTAGACACAGACTTGCCTGTTTGGAATTTGACTTCCATCATTTTTAGCGGTAAATCCCAGCTGAGGGAGGTTATGTCCCTGGACTCTGTTTGAGAAAGAACTCACTGTGAGATGGCCCTGGATGGGGTGCTCTAGAGCCACCAGTGTTCTGCCCAGGCCATCGTGGCCAGGATCTGAGCAGAGTGAGCGTCCAGGCCTGCTCATAGTACACAAGTCTTTCCAGATTCCTTGTCCTCCATCTTCTGGTGTTTCTCCTTCTAGGCCCCTGACCAGCCAGCTAAATGGTTTACTCCCAGCCATACATCACCTTTCCTTACCTTAGGCACTTTCTCTTTTTCTACAAGGCCAACTGTCTTTCTTTTAAAAAAAAAAAACAACAAAACTTTTATTTTGTATTGGGGTGTAGCTGATTAACAAACAATGTGATAGTTTTAGGTAAACAGGGAAGGGACTCAGCCATACATATACATGTATCCATTCTCCCCCAACCTCTCCTGTCTAGGGTAAGGCCAGTGTGTCTTGAAGCTGCCCACTGGACCACATTTGCCCAAAGCTGGGATGGAGGTGTGGTCCCTTTTGGGCCTGTGCCCACATACCGAGCCCACCCATTCTGGAACCCAGAGATCATCCAATTCACAGGGCTGGACAGATCGATATACTTGGGTGGGAACAATTTTATTGGAAACCCTCACCATCTATGACTCAGCAGCTCCAATTCTCAGAAGCTACTCTAGCGAAACACAAACCCATCTCCTGGGAAGCAGGCCAAGGATATTTATCACAACCTCATTAGCAATTTTGGAAAATGAAAGCAACCTAAGTATCCTGACCACAGAACATGAAGACTGTGGAAGGTCACATGGAAGTTAAAGGAATGAGGTGGTGTAGATACTAACAGATGTTTGAGTGAAAACAAGTTGCAGAGTGATACCAATCTTGAGATAACCATTTGTGTGAATACACTCTGTAAACGATTCTATGATACATGTTTGAGACTTTGTAAAGTCCTGGAAGGATAAAGATCAAACTCATGGCAGTGTTTCCTCCTTGGGTAGATAAGTAACTATATTTGTGTGGTTTAATTTTTCAAAGAACATTGCATTGACATATTGAAAATTATAGGGCTTACCTGGTGGCTCAGACAGTAAAGAATCTGCCTGCAGTGTAGGAGACCTGGGTTCGATTCCTGGGTTGGGAAGATCCTCTGGAGTAGGAAATGGTAACCCACTCCAGTATTCTTGCCAGGAGAATCCCCACAGACAGAGGATCCTGGTGGGCTACAGTCCCTGGGGTCACAGAGTCGGACACAACTGAACAACTAAGCACAGCAGAGCACATTGAAAATTATAATAAAAATGAATTTGAAAAAAGAGGGGTATGGAGAGAATTTGGTGTCAGAAGATGCAGAGCTGGGTTCCATCATCCCGGCTCATCAGCTAGATAAGCTCTCTGAGCCATGTGACTGTTCTGATGACACAGTTGATTAAGCCCTTCCTTACTGTTGACAGGATTCCCTGGTGGCTCAAATGATAAAGAGTTTGCCTGCAATGCGGGAGACCTGGCTTCGATCCCTGGGTCGGGAGGATCCCCTGGAGAATGAAATGACAACCCACTCCAGTATTCTTGCCTGGAAAGCCCATGGCCAGAGGAGCCTGGTGGGCTACAGTCCATGGGGTTGCAAAGAGTCTGACACAATTGAGCGACTTCACTGACTTTCACCATTGACTGGTGTGACATCACCAATACCACTGCAGTTTCCTGCCTCACCTGTAGTGAGTATGGCCACATGACTAAGATTAAGTCAATAGTGTCTCTTTTGGGCTGAATTGTGCCCCCTGCCTCACAAAATTCACGTCATGTCCTAACCCCCAGTACCCAGGATGGGACCTTATTTTGTCCTAACCCCCAGTACCCAGGATGGGACCTTATTTGGAAGTGAGCTGTACTGTGTGTTCAGTCATGTCTAACTCTTTGCAACCCCATCAACTGTAGCCCGCCAGTCTCCTCTTGTATGTGGAATTTTTCAGGCAAAAATACTAGAATGGGTTGCCATTTACTCCTCCAGGGGATCTTTCTGACCCAAGAACGGGAACTACATCTCTTGTGTCTCTTGCACTGATGGGCACATTCTTTACCACTAGTGCCACCTGGGAAGCCCTTACTTGGAAATAGGGTCATTGCAAATGTATTTAGTTAAAATGAGTTCATACTTGCAGTAGGGTGGGCCCTAATCCAATATGGCTGTGTCCTTTAAAAAGGGGGAGGGTTGCCTAGTGGATAGGATTCCGGACTTTCACTACTGTGGCTCAGGTTCAATTCCTGGTCAGGGAACTGAGATCCTGCAAACTGTGCAACACTGCTAAAGAAAACAGGGGTGGGGAGGTTTGGTACAGACATGCATATACAGGGAGACCATGATGTGAACATGAAGGCAGAGATTGGGGTAATGCTTCTACAAGCCAAGAATGCCAGCCATCACCAAACCACCAGTATCCAGGTGGCAGGCCTAGAACAGATTCTTCCTGTCAACACCTTGATCTCAGACTTCTGACCCATAGACTGTGAGACAGTAAATTCTGTTGTTTAAGCTGCTCCAGGACTTCCCTGGCGGTCCACTGGTTAAGACTTCATGCTTCCAAAGCAAGGGGTGCAGTTTCTATTCCTGGTTGGGGAACTAAGATGCCACATGCTGTGCAGCATGGCCAAGATAATATATTGGGGGGAAAAAAAGCTGTCCCATTTGTGGCACTTTGGCACAACAGCCCTAGTAGACTAACAGAGTACATGGGGAATGTGTGTGCCATTTCTAACTTGGCCAGTAGAAGCCTTCCATTCTCCTTCCTGCAAGTACTTTCCCTGTTTCTGGCTGGCTGGCATGGAGATGATCTTCTAGGGGCCCTGTGCAAGCCACATATTGTGAGTGGCAGAGTTTCGATCAATGAAGTGAAGGAGGGCACCTGGCTGAGCTGAGCCGAGCCCCAGCCAGCACTGTTATGTGGGCCAGAAGTAGGGTCTGAATGCCCGTTTGTTACAGCAGCTGGCAGGGACCTGACTACACAGATGATGGTGATGATGGTAATGTAGGACAGCGCTGTCCAACAGACGATGCCATAGAGCAGTACAGTAGTGAAGCCCCCATGTGAGCCACCTGGGCCATTTTAACATTTCAAGTAGCCGTACTAAAACATGTAAAAACAAACTGGTGAAATTAACATACCTCTTATTTATCTAAAATAAATATTTCCAACATGCTCAGACACTTAATAGTGTCTCCTTGTGATCCCATTCCTCTGTCCATGGGATTCTCCCAGCAAGAATACAGTAATGGAGTGCCATTTCCTCCTCCAGGGGATTGTCCCGACCCAGGGATCGAACCTGCGTCTCTTAAGTCTCCTGCATTGGCAGGCTGGTTCTTTAACACTAGTGCCCTAGTGCCACATGAAATCTATGTAAAATTTACCAATGAAATATTTTATATTACTTTTCTCATACTAAAGCGTTGAGACCTGGTGTGACCTGTACCCTCACAGCACATCTCAGCTCAAACCAGCCACATGTGGAGTGCTCAGTGCCTCCTGACTGCTGTATCTGATGATGTGGGTTTAGAATGTTCGAATCTAAGATGGTTTAGGAAGCCTCATGTTCTCCAGAGCCTGTGCCTGTGTCTGTCTCTACTGGAACTCTGCAGATAATGGCAAGAAACTCTGAAAGTCACGACTGAGGAAGCAGCATGGTGTGGGTGGGCACAAAGTGTACTTCACTGTCTTTGAGCCCAGGCTGTCCTGATTTCTCAACGCACGACTTCGGGTCACTTGTCTACTCTCTCTGATCCTTCGTTTCCACATCTTCCAAAGGCTTGTTGCACAGGTTAAATTGAAGACGAGAGTGGAGGCTTGGGGTATATGTATAATAGGCAATTAAGAAGTAGTCACTGCTGTCATGAATCGAACCTCCTCAAATTCTATTTGCTTGACCCTCTTGTTTTCACCCTCTCCCACATGAACTTTATAAATGTCTAATGCAGGTCAGGCAGCTCACCCTCAGGGTCTGACTTTATTAAAAATTCAGTTTTGGAATAAAAAACAAATTCAGTTTTGGGGTAACTGACCTCAGAAGGAAGCTGCTTGATGCAGAACTCTGATGATGAAGGAAGTTGGTTGGACAGGAGGAAGAAGGGGACTGATTTAG